ACTGCTCCCTTATCTTTGCCAAGAAAACCCCAAATGAGGCCACAGAGAGTTGGGCATGACTGAAAGGATTCGACAACAACACAGTGTGTGTCAGAGGTGGTACTTGGAGGCTCCTGGCTCTGAGGCCAGCTCTCTATCTCCATACCAAGAAGTCTCTCCAAACCTTATTATTAAATTATTAATTATTTTTAGCTTTCTTGGTTGCCATCTTGCATTTTTGACTCACACGGTACTTGAACTCCCCTAAAAACCCCAGAGGTTTTTTTCAGACAAGATGGGGACTAGCCAAGCCTCCTCCATTATTTTCTTGGAAATTTGGATCTATATCCAAGCACAGGATTTTGCATACATCCCCATTATATTTCATGTTATTAGATTCAACCCAAATTCTGTAACCTATCAAGACGTCTTTGGTTCCTGGCCCCGGCATCTAGAACATTATCTCTCTCTCAGCCTTGTGTCTTGTGCAGCTTGGAAAACCATGCCATCTTTGCCTTCATTCAAGTATCAATCAACATGTTGACTGTCCCCCACACTCCTCACAGTGGCTGTTCCAGACCTCTCCTCTCCTCTAGCCTCTCTCAAAGGTGTCCCTCTCTCTTCCCTCTTTGGAGACTCGTTGTTGTTCAGTCATTTCACTTACGTCCGACTCTTACTCTACTATGGACCATACTATGCCAATACTGGCCACAGGGTTTTCTTGGCAAAGATACGGGAGTGGTTTGCCATTTCCTTCCCTGCCTCATTTTACAGATGAGGAAACTGAGGCAAACAAGGTGAAGTGACTTGCCCCAGGTCACACAGCTAAGAAGTGTCTGAGATCAGATTTGAACTCATGAGTTCAATTATCCTCCATATGCCTATAAATCCCAGATCTAGACAGAATAATTATTAAACACTTACTATGTGCTAAGGCACTACACTAAACATCGGGGATACAAAATATGGTAAGACAAGATGGTGCTTACCATCAACAAGCTTACATTCTAATAAGGTAAGACAAAACATAAAGGGAAGCCAAAGCAACAATATGTTAAATATCTTCAACTGTATGTCCCATAGATGTCTCAAATCCAACATGTCCAAAACAGAACTCATTGTCTTCCTCCACAAAACCACTCTAAAAATATCACTTTCCCATAGGCTCCCAGACTTGAAACCTTGTAGTTTTCTCAAATCTTTCCTAACCCTCTTCCACCTCTCTGCTATCCAATTGGTTACCATGTCTCATTGACTCTCCCTCTTATATACATCCCCTTCTCTCCATTCACATGGCCACCCCCGTGGCTCAGGCCCTCATCTGGACCAATGCAACATCCTCTTACATGGTCTCCTGTCTTCCATTTCCTTTCTTCAGTCCTTATTCTACACAACTGTCATATTGATATTCCTAAAGCCCACTACATTCCACCTTCTGCCTCCATTCCTCAGTGACTGGAATGTTCTCTCTCCTCATCTCCTTGAAGTCAGGGACCACTTCATTTATATGTCCGTATCCTCAGTGCCTAGTACGGTGTCCGATCCACAGATGATTACTTAATAACTATTTGTTAAATTGAATTAAATGGAACTCTAGCCTTTTCCCACTTTGAACTTCTGCGGGACTTTGTACCTTGTTTCTGTCACCAGTCAAATCCTACCTTGTAGTTTACAATGTCCCAAAAGTCTGAGTGGTTTTCAGCTACTAAAGCTTTAATATAGCTATATGTAAAACATACAGCTATATCAAGCTATTTTATCATAGCTTGAAATTGTACTCAGACTTTGGGGATGCCCTGTATGTATTCCCATATATATATCCCATCTTCCTTACTGGCCTGTCAGCTCCTTGAGACCAAAGATTGTGTCTTTTCATCTCTGGATCCCCCACACAGAGCTCAGTACAGCCCGTCATTGCTAACAGTGCTTAGTAAATGGCTGTTGAATGAATGAATGGTTTTGGAAGAAGGAATAGGGAACCAAGGTTTTAAAGAGAAGACAAATCTTTCCCAGGTGACAGGATGAAGAACTTTAGGAGGTTACTGAGCTTTTCTTTTTAAGGCTTGTAAAGCACTTTATATATGCTATGTCATTTGACCCTCACAATAACCCTGTTAGGTGCTATTTTTATCCCCATTTTACGGAGGAGGCAGACATTGGTTAAATGTCTTACCCAGGGTAACACAGCTAGTAAGTGTCTGAGGCTGGATTTGAACTTAAGTCTTCCTGACTCCAGATTCTAACATTTTACCCACTGTGACATCATCAGCTGGGCAAATACTTGGCATAAAAGAGTATGTCAAACAGTGCATCAAGGCCCTAAAACATCATTCACAGTAGGTGCTTAATCAGTGGTTATTGAATCCGTGGTTTTTAATCTGTTATTTTTTAAGGTTCTGGTTGAGAATAAGAAAATCTCATGGAGTACTAAGCAACATTTGCTTTTAATAGGTGTCCTATTCTATATTTCTTATTATGTGTCAGTCTTCTACAAGAGACACTGTGAAGTAGGGAATAGAAAGCTGGTCTTGGAGTCAACTTGTATTCTTGACACAGACTGGCTGTGTGACCCTGGGCAAGTCACAGCATTAATCCTAGTCTAGCCCAAGTAATTGGGCAAACAAAATTAATAACAAATGCAATAGGACGTAGATAATGTTAACGTGTAGTTTTCAAAGTCAATATACCGTCCACAGGGATTCCTAAGTACAGTTTTTAGTGCTCCTTTTTCTCTGTAGGCCACTCTCTAAGACTACAAACTGCAGAGAAAGTAGCAACCAGCAAGGGTAGAGGGAGTTCCCTCATCAGGGATTTCCTTATATCAGTGAAATCACAGGTCTAACAAAGAGAATGGAAATATCCAGGATTACTTCTTTGCAGGCTTACTTATTTTTTAAAAAAGCACTTATGTCACAACCTCTACTTCTTTTGACTAGATTCTAACTATTCTTAATAGTAGAATATCACTTAGTAAAAAAAAAAAAGCCAGTGGTTTTTCTCTTATCTCAAAGTATTTCCACCCCCCCATCTCCCTCGAAATGTCAGTAGCTTTCCATCAAAGTGAAAAATGTTAGCAGAAAGATCACGATTAAATTTTCCCTTCCTCCCATTCCGACTTCTTTTTATGGGTTGCTTACCATTAGAAATGTATTCTTAAGCACTTCTCTGCCTACATTATCTGACGATAATGCAAGACAACTCCCAAGGACAGTGTTAAGTGCCTGAAATAGGTAATGGACGCTCTGTCTAGACACGGACGCAGTGAATACCATTCAGCGTTCCTTGGTTTCACCATCTGCCCCTAGTTTTGATAGTAAGAAGAGTATTTGTATAATGTCCAAGCCCATTATATTAAAGCGAAAGAAGCTTAATTAGTCATGTATAAATAATGAAAATGATAAACTGTCGAATCTGAGTAACATTTTCAGAGTAAAATATGGCACTGCAAATGGGGCTATCAGTGAATACAGCCAATATGTTGTGACCGGGGAAGACTGCCGTGAAGATCACAGTAGACCACCAGATGGCGCCATAGCGCACAGAGTGCCGGACATGGAGGCAAGAAGACCCAACTTCACAATTTGCTCAAGACACTTACCAGCCTTGTGATGAGCTCTCTCAGCCTTAGTTCCTCATCTGTAAAATGGGAACAACAATAGCTCCCACCTCACAGGATTGTTGTAGGGCTCAAATGAGATAGTATACGTGTAAAGAGCTGTGTAAATCTTAAAGCCTAAATCTTACAATCAGAGAATCTTAGAGTTGAAGAAGACACAGCATTAATGTAGATCAGCCCTGAACAGAGAGCCCTCCATGACATTCTCAAAGAATGCCCATCGGGCCCTCACTGGAGAAGGAAGCCAATGCCTTTTCCCTCCTAACTTTCTCCCTTTAGCTCTATCACTGGGGGCCTTTCTCCCCTCTCTCAAAAGGACAGGCAGATGAGGAACCCAATATTTTCTCAATAAGGAGCAATTTTAGACTTCCTCAAAGATTTAAGAGGGTCAGTGGGTAGAGGTAGAGGACTGATGAGTAGGGCCAGGAGGGACAGAAAGCTGCCAGACACCCTTTCACTTTACCATTAGGAATCCTGAGGAGCATGGGAAGAGGGAAGGAAGAGCCATGGCACAGAGACTGACTAGGCAAGCCTTCGAGACCAAATGGTACACTGTAACAAATTACTGAGCAATGCTTGATCTCCAGTATCAGCCCCTCTGAACCCTAATGCACCTGAGTGTTCATGATCTCTTCTCTATTTACCACCAATGCCTTCATCAGGTATTGCAGAAGCATGCACTCTGGGCTTCCCCCCCCCCCATTTTCTCCCTTAGAATATTAGGGAAGAGAGAAGAATTTAAACTGAAAGCAAATTGTAGGAGAGCTTCTGAACAGTCACAAAAGGAGCCCCCAGCCCTATGCCACCTCCTCCATTCTGCATGGATGCTTCAGCATTCGTACAGCTACAATCTTCCCCTCCCTGCCTGAGGATCTGTGTCATTGTCTCTTATACTTAGGACAAATTGCAGAAAAGGTCTTGACTTCTATTGATAGGAGGTTTTTTCTCGCTCTTAGGAATGTGTTTTTGCCTTTCTTTGTATCCCTAGCACTCAATTGGCCCTTGGTGGTGCTTAAACTTGTTGACTCACACTAACTGATTCTACCAATGACATCGCCAGTCCAGCCCCAGCCCCTCTGTCTATCACTAATAGACTAGAAGGAAATGCTATGGACACAACACATGTGGAGGTCAGCTGGGCGTCCAGCAGAATCTCTCCCTATTGGGATTGATCGGGCCTGAATGATTCTAGAGTTGGGTGCCTTTGGAGCTGATTGAGGGGCAGTGGAATGCTAATGAATGGATTAATGCCAGACACCCTTTCACTTTACCACTAGGAATCCCCAGGAGCAGGGGAAGAGGGAAGGACAAAGATCAAGTCTTAAGGAGGTTTATTTTCAGAGCCTAGGAAACAGTGGCTGCTGAATCACCAGTCCTAGCAATGAACAAAATTCAGTTCACTCACCAGGTTCAGCTTTGCCCAGAACTCAGGTCCTTCTTCCATTGTCCTTAAACTCGGTGGAATGTACCAAAAGCAAACGTTAGCAAACTCGGGCTGAGGAAGAAGAAAAGATACAGCATTTCCATTAACCTAGAGGGCAAATCTATACATGGTGCTCACTGCCTATCAAGGCTTCACCACAGAAGGTAGAGATGTGACTGTCCATTTTAAAAACATGCTTTCCTAGGCTGTTTAAATACATTTCTTCTTTGTGAAGAATGACAAGCTAAAAAATTCTGGCAACCAAAATCCCATTTTATGTGTAAATTCAATTAAATTCAATTACTATTTATTAAAGGAGACAATACAGGTCAGTGTGTGGATAGAACAGTGAACTTCAAGTCTGGAAGAACTGGGTTCAAATCCTGCCTCAGTCACTTACAGAAGAAAAGCCAGAAATCTTTCTGAAAACAATGCTACCCCAATTTTTACACTTATCTGGTATGGATGTGACTGTAGTCTGGATAGGCTATGAAGGACAAGCCAAAGGGACACTAGGATCAATGGAAAATTCCAGAGCTGTGTCACTATGGCTAAGTCACTTAACCTATGCTAGCCTTAGTTTCCTCATCTGTAAAATGAGGAGGTTGGATTCAATGAGTCAGTTCTAGATATTTGATCTTATAAACTGAATGAATGAAGCATTTATATACTATCTGTAAGTACTGAGTCAGGAGAAGTAGCTATGAGGCCAATTTGATGGGAAAGGGAGGAATACGAAATAATTCTGGAGAAAATACTACAGTACCAGCTAAGCTTCGCCAAAGCTACTGGCTTTGGCAGGAACCTTAAAAGTGACCTAGTACAAACCTTACCCAAAGCATGGATCCTGTCTATAACCTTCCCACCAAGTGGCCATCCAGTTTCCTTGAATATGTCCCGTGACAGGCAAATCATTACTCCTCATGGCAGTCCTTTCCACATTTGGATAGCTGTTTTAGGATGTTGTTTCCTTACACTGAGTCCAAACTGGACTTCCAGTAAATTTCTTCCTCTGGTCCTGCTCTGGTACCTCATTAAGACAAGCCCAATTCCTCTTCTGGCTGACAAACTTCCAAATAAAAATATGAATTCCAGAATCTCAGATTCAGAAGAACCTCAGAGCTTGTCTACTCAGTTGCTATACTGCTCCCTATTTTCCAAGTTCTTTTTTTCCTTTTCTGCAGCCTAAATATCCCCAGGTGCTTCAACTGATCTTTTTTTCTAAAGAAATAGTTTCTGGCCCCTTGACCACCCGGGTCACCCTCCTTCATACCTACTCTAGTTTGTCAGTTTCCTTCCTTAAATACACCACTCAGGACTGGAAAGAATTCTCCAGCTGTGTTCCGATGGGCCCAGAAAACAGCAGGACTATTTCCTTGCTCAGATTCTAGCTGGCCTAAGTCCACATTGGTCCTTTTGGCCACTCAGTCTTTTATTTCTCCCTCTGGGTACTGTTCTCCAGTCACATCTGTCTCATCCTACACTTGTCTATTGATTGAAAAACAAAAGCCAAAACAAAAAAACCTTAGATATGGGATTTTGCATTTTCCGCTTTTCATTTCATCTTGCTAGCTTCAGTCTACTATGCTAACCCGTTGGAGTCTTTGGGGGATTTAATACCCCAATTCAATGTACTGGTTTTCCCTCTTACACTTTCATGTCACTAGCAAGTTTGATAAGCATGCATCTATCCCTTAATCTAAATCATTGATTTAAATGCTGAACAGAGCCAGGCCAAGGACAGAGCCCTGGGGCTTGCTTCACTAGAAAGCTCCCTTCAGGCCAACATTAATCCATTCATTAGCATTCCACTGCCCCTCAATCAGCTCCAAAGGCACCCAACTCTAGAATCATTCAGGCCCGATCAATCCCAATAGGGAGAGATTCTGCTGGACGCCCAGCTGACCTCCACATGTGTTGTGTCCATAGCATTTCCTTCTAGTCTATTAGTGATAGACAGAGGGGCTGGACTGGCGATGTCATTGGTAGAATCAGTTAGTGTGAGTCAACAAGTTTAAGCACCACCAAGGACCAATTGAGTGCTAGGGATACAAAGAAAGGCAAAAACACATTTCTAAGAGAGAGAGAAAAACCTCCTATCAATACAAGTCAAGACCTTTTCTGCAATTTGTAGTTTTAGTGAGCTGCCTGGAGCATTCAGAAGTTAAGTGGCTTGCCCGCATCTTGCCAAAATGTCAGAGGCAAGGTGTGAACCTGCGTCTTTGTCCTTTCTAGGCTAGCTTTCCATTTTGTCAGGAAGGGAGAAGGACCCGTCCCGGCATTCCCTACTCTTAATGAACCCATGCTGGCCCCTCATCCCTTTCTAAGTCCTTGCAAACTGTTCCTTTAATTATGATTGCTATGTTTTTCTGTTCCCACCAGGAATTGATATCAAATCTGCTGGCCAACAGTCTCAATTACTCACTTTCCTTCCCATTCAGACAGCCAAAGCAGTGTCAGTTCCTCTCTGGTTCCACGGCTCCTCTCCCTTTTGCCAATATAATGCACTAGCCATGGTTTAACAATCACATCTGCATATTCTTTCAGCACCAAAGGATAGCCAGACCAGACAAGGTGCAAATTAAAGTGACTAAATAGCTCCTGCCTCAGAGTCCTGCTCATTTTTGTTCACCACGTGTCTGATTCCTGGCTCCAGGTCCCTGGTATTGATTCCCGAATCTCCTCTGCGGGGAGACCCTGCCCCAGACATCCATTGCCTTCCAGGTTCTTCTTAGTTTAACTTTGGTTTATAAGGCACGGATAGCATGACACCTCCCCCCATGGCACTAGAAGCACCTTCTAACAGTCTCTGTACGTACGATTTTGGCCTTCTTTGTCCATCGCTTTTGATATAGGAGCTTTAGTTCAAGGAGTATAAAGTATTGTTAGGCTCATCTGAGACATTGGGAACGTTCAGATACTATTCAGACTGACTTCTTAGAAATATTAAAGAGGTCCAGACCCCTTGAAGAAATAAGACACGGTGTATCTATTTAATATAAAAGGGATGAGACTGACATCAGACCCGTTGAAAGGCTTTCAAAGCAAATGATCTATCAGGTTTAGCCAGCATGGGTTTACTAGGAGCAAACCCTGACAAACTAACTTTATTTCTGGGGTTATTTGACAGGCTTCCTAGGCTATTAGAGCAGGAGAACGCTAGAGGTATCAATGTATCCAGTAAGGCATTCGACAAAGTCTTTCAAAAGAGAATTGGCTCTGTGATGGTCTATTTGGGATTGAGGAGGAGGTCGGGGGTTTGACCACCAAAGCAAAATCATTTAAAGAGTGTTGACTTAGAGGGAATGATAGGGTTACAACAGATTGTTGATTCTTGACTGGGTTTGGAGGGGTAATGCTATCTGAAGTGCTGGAAATGGGGAGGATGAGGTGGCCAGAGCCACTCAGTGGGACATGGGACAGCTGTCAGAAGTCCATAATGGCAGGATGAGATCAAGTCTAGACCTTGAGATGCAAGATCTCAAGAATGCAGAGAAGATGGGAATCAAATAGCCAGAGTGAGCAGCCCAGGGCTGGGGAAGGAACAGAAGCAGGAATCCTGAGCAGAGCAATGGAGAACAGTCAAAATTCAGACCTCACATTGCAGTATGTTCTACTATTGTCTAAGACACATATTACCATGACAGATTACCATTGTGTATTCCCTTCTCTTTTTGTCTAGACTTGAAGCACCTTGAGGGCAGGGGCTCGGTCCTCTCTGAACTTTATACTGCTGCTGACACTCAGAACACATCTAGTAGATAATTAATAAATGCTGAATTGACTTGAAGGGAATTGAAACAGATGCTAAAATAAAACCCAGTCCACAAACTGGTTCTTATCAGCTCATTCTCATTAGCCCATTTAATTGACAAATGGGCTAAAGGGGTAGGGGAAGCTGGAAGGGCAGGTCAAAGATATAGAGGCCAAATGGACAAATAATTGGCACACTCTTTTTACACTGTCATTACACTGTTATTAACATTTAAGCCTTCCTGTTGGCCCCACTTCTTCTCAAAGTTGGTATTTAGTTTCATCATCATCATCATCATCATCACCATCACCATCATCATCATCACTGTCATTTTACGGCACGCTAAAATCTGCAGAAGGCTTCATGTGCCTCACCTCATTTGAGCCTTTGAAGGACACTGCTAGATGGGGTCTATGGGTATTATCAATCCTCTTTTTCCTAGTGAAAGGCAAAGTGATTTGCCCAGAGTCACGTAGTTAAGTGCAAGCTCAAGGCAGGATTGAAAACTGTTCTGATTCCAAGGTCAGTGTCTGTCCCAAGCACACACACTGCCTCTAACTATAGAGATGCTATTTAAGGTCCTTCTAACAAAAAGGTTCTAATTTAATTCAACAAGCATTTTGTTAAGCACCTACTGTGTGCCAGGCACTGTGCTGAGCATCAGAGATTAAAAATTAAATAGTCTCTGCTCTCAAAGAGCTTACATTCTATTGAAGGAAACAATATTTTTATGTCTATATAAAGTAAATCGAGGGCAGCTGGGTGACACAGTAAATAGAGCTTGGCCTGGAGTCAGGAAGACCTGAGTTCAAATCCAGCCTCAGACACTAACTAGCTGTGTGATTCTGGGCAAGTCGTTTAACCCTGTTTGCCTAGTTTTCTCATATGTAAAATGAGCTGGAAAAGGACATGGCAAACCACTGCAGTATCTTTGCCAAGAAAACCCCAAAATAGGGTCACAAGGAGTTGGACACGACTGAAATGACTGAAAAACAATGGAAGGTCATCTCCTTGGCATCAACTAACCAGCTAGTGTTTAATGAGTGCTTATTATATGTCTAAAGGTACCTAGATGGCACAGCTCACCAAATTATGGACCTGAATTCAAATCCAGGGCCATACCCTGATTAGCTGTGTACTTCACTTCTCTAAATCTCAGTTTCCCAATCTGTAAAATAGGGATAATAATAGCCCCTCCCTTACAGAGTTGTTGGGGGGATCCAATGAGATTATAATTGTAAAGCGCTTCACCAACATTAAAGTGCTTTATAAAATCTATGATCAGGGCAGCTAGGTGGCACAGTGGATAGAGCACTGGCCCTGAAGTCAGGAGGACCTGAGTTCAAATCTGGCCTCAGACCAAACACTAGACACTTAACTAGCTGTGTGACCCTGGGCAAGTCACTTAAACCCAATTGCCTCAAAAAATAAAATAAAATAAAATAAAATAAAATAAAATAAAATAAAATAAAATAACGATGATGATGATGATGATGATGATGATGATGGTGATGGTGATGGTGTTCCAGATACTATGTTAGCTTGTTGGGGACTCAAAGGCAAAAATGGAAATATTTCCTGCCTTTGAATGGCTTGTATTCTATAGGGTTATTCCTGCAAATAGAGAAAGAGTGAGAAAGGAAACCCAAGAGGAAAGAGCCAGGGCTCTACCATGAGCTCAGAAAGAAGCCCAGGACTGATATAGTGTAAGAACAAAAACACCTACCAAGATATCTGCTTAGAATCTCAAATTGAACACAGAAAATTAACAATGTGGTTTTCAGAGGCCTGAGAATAATGAGCATTTCCTTTGAAATGATAACTTCCTTTGCTGTCAAGATAATATGCATTATTCTTGCTTCTGACAGTAAAAAGAGAAAAAAAATTCAAGTACTCTGCTCTCCACATTGAGAGCAGCTCCAGACAGTGTTTTCAATATTTCTCTTGACATTGTCAGCCTTAGCCTTAACTACAACCTAGAAAACAGTGACTATTACAGCTATTAGCCTTTTTCTTAAGAAAAACAACTTTCAGTTACACCAAATGCATTTCCCAGAGAAAAGGGACCCACTCACATTATCTATCCACTTTACTATAGGAAAACATAGGGGAAAAAATTATTCTAAGCATTCAAGGCAGGGAGCTGCCCTCCATGGCCTCTCATGGTCATCCAAAGAAAATCTACCCAACACACCAGGAAGGAGACTTTTTTATATTGCGGATACCAATGAAACAGCAAAGCCTCCCGCAAGTACTAGAGAACCAAGCTAGAACCCCGACCTTCAGTTTCACTGAATGCATCATTTTATTGCTTTATGTCAAGGGCTAGGTAAAGGAACAGGTGTGTTAGTAAAAGTTTAACCTGTTCTCTGAAAAATAAAAAGCACCTCTGCCACACTTTTAAGTGTAATTTGCATCATTAACATTTTCTCAGATATTTTTATAAGCTTAGATAATCAACAAACCAATTGTGGGGCTGGGAGACTTCTGACGTAGAAATGAAAATTTATCAGTGGTGTCTCACGAGCCTGGAGGAACCTGGATAGAGGGCGTACTAGAAACTGAAATAAGGCAGTTCTGCCCTCAAGGAGCTTACATTCCATTGGACAATCTTAAAATTTGTATACTTAATTTATTATTGTGATTATTGTATTATTGTAGTAATATCTGAGAGACAGGGAAAGGTAGTAGATAGACCCTGCTTCTAATCCTAGTTTTGAGGGAGGAAGAGAGTGCCTCTGTCACATGCTCGCTTTGAAGGGTGCATGTCATTAAGTCATTTAACCTCTTCTTCTTCTTGTCATTGCTGTTGTGGTTGCTCATACTCCTAGGTAATTTCCTAAGACTCCAGTCAACTGTAATCACTGAGTCTTTTCTGTACACATCATCCTAGATTTAGAGCTAGAAGAAACCTCAGAGGCCATTGATTCCCATCATCCCATTTTGCAGACAATGAAACTGAGGCCCAGAGATGTTAAGTGACTTGCCTATTGTCAAACAGCTGGTGTCTGAGATAAGATCTGATCTGGGTTAGAGACTCACAGATTTAGAGCTGGAAGGGACCTCAGAGGCTGTCTAGTTTGGCTCCTTCATTTTGGATGATGGATGAGGAAACTGAGTCCCAGAGGAGTTGACTGATTGGCTCAAGGTCAGATAAATAGCAAATGTCAGAGCCAGAATCTAAACTCATGTTCTGGGATGCCAAATTCAGCACTTATTACATCATACCACCATCAGCAGAGGTGTTTCCATGCTGGGAAGTACTTACAGTGATGGAATCACAAGTCAGGAACAAAAAATACCCCTTAATGGCATCCCATTTATATAGTGTTTTCCTCCCAGCAACTTGTGGTAGAGCACAATTATTATTGCTCCCATTTTGTACATATGGGAACTGAGGTTGGAGGAGGTGGTGAGTCGTTGGAAGAGTCAGCACTCCCAATACAGGGCTTCCGACACTGAGATCAGGGGTTATTCTACTACTCCACAGCTGCCTCCCCATGTACGCAAAAAAGGTACTTTTATTTCTTAAACTAGAATCTCCATTTTATCGAAGCCCAAAGATCTGAGGGAGTGGGAAGGAGAAGTAGTGCAGTCCTTTAAAAGGCAAAATGAGGAATAAGAATTATTTTCCATTCATTTAAGGATTTGCATCCTAACAGATTTTCCATATTTTTATAGCTTGGGCAGGCTATGGAGTCAATAAGCAATTTGTATATCATCATGTCATAATTTATTCTGCAGAATCCTGGGTAATTATTAGTGACCGCTTTGATTTTCTCTGCTTAAAAGCACGTGTGGGTTCTCAGTAGATCCTACAAAGGGGAAAAGTATTCACTAATAGAGTAAACTGGCATAATGGACTCTCTGAATTAAGCTAATGATTGATTCCCACCAGCTAAAACCCCAGCAAAGAAAAACAGATGAGAAAATTGTCACCTTTATCCCTGTTGATTGACAAAAATCACTAACACAACAAGCCTGTGTTGACTTACCTCTAAAAGCAGTCGGAATCCTTCTCTTTTCTTAATTTCCTCCACGAGGTATCTGTAATTAAAAAAACACAACTGCATCAGAGAGAGACAGACTCCAAAGCTAGGAACACTTCAGGCTCAGGATACAACTGTAATCACCGAGTCTTTTCTGTACACATCATCCTAGGTTTAGAGCTAGAAGAAACCTCAGAGGCCAGTGATTCTCATCATCCCATTTTGCAGACAATGAAACTGAGGCCCAGAGATGTTAAGTGACTTGCCTATTGTCAAACAGCTGGTGTCTGAGATAAGATCTGTCCAGAGCGCTATCCACTACATGAGACTGCCTCGCCAGAGGATAAATGCATTATTCTAGAAAACCTACATTGGTATATACCTTAAACAATTCTTGGATTTCTTGGAAGGTGAGTGAGAAGGTTAGAAATTTTGTCCAAGTTAAAACAGGGAAGACAATTTGGGTCACCCCTGGGTGGGGAGGGGCGAGGGAGATAAATTGGGTTCAAGATTAGAATTAGCAAATTAAACCTAGCAGGAGTCTTCCAAGTCATAAGATCCTAGGTCACAGAATCAACATTTCAGAACCAGAAGGGATCTGATAGGCCATTGAGAGTCCAACTCTATACTTTCAGACAGTTGGTGTCTCTGGGGGTGCTGCCCTGACCCCTAAACCTTGATGTTGTATACCAAGAATCCACCCAATGCTACCCACAGACTAGCCAAGCATCTTCTGTCTCCCCACAGCTTCAGTTGCAAATTCCTGGGCCCCACCCCAAGCTGCTTTGGACAACTTAGCAGATGCTGTAGCTGAGGTCCTAGCTTGGAACTTAAGAAGTCCTGATACCACTGGGAGACCTAGAATTGAGTCTAGGTCATCACTAACTAGCCAGAGGACCTCAGATAAATCTCCTAATCTGACCCCAGCTCTGTAAAATGAGAAGGGCAAACTTATGGATCTCAAAATACTTTTCCAGCTCTAAAATTCAGTGACAGGATGGAAAAGCCCTGCTCTCTTTTCAGTATCATTCTGGGACAGTTGGCAATCAGTTCTAATCGATTAAGGGGATCCTGGAGAATCATCCCCAAATGGAGCAGTAATATTTGGATCCAAACTGTGTTCTGCTGCTTGCCGTGTAGATATCACTTTACCTCCCACATCTGTAAAATAAAGGAATAGATCAAGAGTTCTTAACCTGGGGTCCACAAGTGTGTGGATAGATTTTAGGGGGCTGGTGACCTTGGATGGGAAAACAAGATCACATCTTTATTTTCATTGACTTTTAGTTTCTTTTGTAATCCTTTGTATTTTATTTTATTCTTTCAAAACATTGTTCTGAGAAGGGGGTCCATAAGTGTCACTAGACTGACAGAGGGGTCCATGATACACAAAAAAGATGAAGAATCTCTGGCCTAGAGGATCTTTAAGGTTCTCACTGTTCTACGGGTCTTCTACAGTTTCCTGCCTCCTGTCACTTCATGAAATGGCCTTGCCTTTTCCTATTGCCTCGGCTCCCCGTCTGACCACAACCATTCTGACACTTCTCTTCCCCTCCCCCCCCACCAGCAGTCTTCATCGTTTTATTAAAAGATACTCTTGTGTGCCCTGAGCCACTCCAGGCTTCTGAAATCTGCCATCTGTATTCAGCTTACCCTACAAATTTCAGTACAGACAGATGTGGGTTTGCATGATTCAACACAGACACCCACCTGGGTATAAGTGCCTATTGCATGGGTGATTTAGTCTAGGCTTCTGCCCCTCCTCAGCCACACAAACACAGTTCCTGCCGCAAAAGCCACATTGTGTCCCCCCTCATCTTTCCCTCACTGGCCACAAGAAGTCCCTGAGTGAACAGAATGCATTCCAATGTTGGAAACTGTGGGCCTAGGGAATAGATAAATGAGACCCTGGGGGCCAGCACCAAGGAGAGCTGCTGAGTTGTTTGTGGTTGCTATAAAGACGGATGCCCATGATCCTTCAGTGTGCCGCTTTAAAAATCACCCCACGGCGAACACCCATTTAGCCTGATTGCTGAGACATACCACAGCAGGCCAGCCTCCCCAATGGGTAGCTGCAAACATGGCAAGATGCTTTTGTTTTTCTTCCCCTGCTGAAACCCAGCAAGCACAATTCTCCATCTTCTGTCAAGCAGAAGTGGTATTTTCTAACCTGTGGGGTTCTGAATTCTTTTCCCCATTGAAACTGAGTTAGCATCAGTGAGTCAGTGGAAGGAGTGCCGTGAGCAGTGGGCACTGGAGAACTTGGGTTCAAATCCACCTCAGATACTTACTAGTGGTATGATCCTGATCAAGTCACTTAACCTCTCTGCACCTCAGTTTCCCAATCTGTAAAATGAAAGGAGTAGACCTTCCAGTTCTAAATCTATGATCCTATGATCTGGAATCAGAAGACCTGAGTCTGAATCTAGGTTCTACCATTTGCCTGCTATAGAAGCTGGCAAAGTCACAAACAAACCTTATCTGTGCCTCAGTTTCCCAATCTGTAAAATGGGCATGTCAGACTGTATGGCCTCTAATGTCCTTTCAAGCTCTGAGGATTCTAATACCTGATAGGAGTATTTTACTTCATGGCTCAGCCTCATGGCTCTCAAAGCTCACTGTACACGGACTTTGAGAACTGGGTTAACTAATCTTCTAGGTTCTTCGTAGTTCTAATTTGTATGATCTTGAACCTATCAGTATAGCCTAGGATTGAGGAATGGCCTCTACATTAGGAATCAGCAGGAGCAGATTGAGAGCTAGAAGGTAATCAGTAGCCAGAATTTATATAGCATTTCCCATATATTACATTATTTACATTATATGTAGCTTTACATTTATTATCTCTTTTGATCCTCCCAACAGCCCATGTGAGGTAGGTGTTATTATTTGCCCCAAGACAAGAAAACTGAGGCAAAAAGAGGTTAAATGACTTGCCTAGGATCACACAGCTAATAAATGTCTGAGGTTGGATTTGGACTTCTTCCTGGTTCCAGGCTCAGCACTCTGTGCACTATGGCCCTGCCCATCATTGTCATCATTGCTTATGATGATGTAGCATTTTAAAGTTTGTAAAATCGACAGTGGCCACTAAACCATTCATGAGGTTCCCTGTGGTCTCAAAGTGACTTAGTTTAAAATTTCAATGTTATCTCTCTCTCTCTCTCTCTCTCTCTCTCTCTCTCTCTCTCTCTCTCTCTCTCTCTCTCTCTCTCTTTTGTATTTTTATTTAGATTGTTTTTGGCATGAGGCAGTTGGGGCTAAATGACTTGCCCAGAGTCACACAGCTAGTGAGTGTTATGTGCCTGAGATCAAATTTGAACTCAGGTCCTCCTGACTCCAGGGCTGGTGCTCTATCCACTGTGCTACCTAGCTGCCCCTCCCAACTACATTTGAATCAGGTTCAGGCTGCTCTGAGGGGTGTGTGCCCTTAAATTATGTATTTGACATCTCTGTCCCAGACCATTTAATCACACATCCTGGCCATATCCCACCTGCCTCACATCTTGGATGGAGAAGTCAGACATCTGTCTAACTTATGTGCTCTCTTTAAATCCTGCTACTGAGCTGAGCAAAAGAATATCTAGGGCTCCTATTCTGGACACATTAAAGAAAATATTTCCTGAAATAAGTAGGGAAGATTTCTCTTGGAAATGTTTACCAGGCAGTCTTCCAGTAAAATGTGAACTTCCTGAGGTCATGGACAGTTTTATTTTTGCCTTGGTATTGCGGGTGTCTGGGACCACGCATGGTATATAGCAAGCAACTTCTTAAATATTTATTATATTGAAATGGCTGGGGTAGATCAGTCTAGTTCAGAGATTCTTAATCTGTTTTGTGTCATTGACCCCCTTGTTTGTCTGGTGAAGCCTGCTGACCCCTTCTCAGAACAATGTTTTTAAATGCTTAAAATAAAATACATTATTATTGTTATTATTACAAAGGAATTGCAAATAACAAAGGAAGCCAGTCACTGAAATACAGTCATGAGAATGTTTTTAAATGTTCACAGATCTCAGGTTAAGCACCCCTAGTCTTGTCCAAAGCCACATGAACTGTCCTTCGCAAAGAATACACACGAAAAAAGTCCCACGATGTAAGTATTGTAAAACATCGCCAGTGGAAAGAAATGTGTCACTTAAATCATAAGGTCAAGATGCTAGTTCCCAAATTAAACCAGGTCTAAATTCAGTAACATTGAAACATTATCACTGAGGCATCTGCGTAATCCCCACTGTAACCCATCAGGAAGAAAGGAGACACAGCTGGTCAAGTAGTTAAGGAGCCTGGCACAGTGCCCAGGGAAACTGACAGCTCATGACATGACGCCACTAATGCCCGCTGAAGCTGCCAAGCAATCATCGTGTGGAATATGCCTTATCCTTGAGCCGCTGCCTGGGTAGGGCAATTCTGTTTCTTGAAGAAACAATGTCACTTTCACTTAGAAATGAGCCCAGGTAAATCCTCACTATCAAAAATGTGGATCTCTCTATTGTGTATCCTGGGAATCTGCTCACCTTGAGCCAATACGCTGGAAGGAAACTACTTTTATCTACCATCAGGCAGCAGTTTCAATTGATTAAGGATGCCATCACCCAGAGGAATAACCCACCTGGCAACGTGTGCAAACAGACACACTGGAATGGAAGACAAGATGGCCCCAGAATGAAGACATGTCTGTCGTTTATTTGGGAGGGGGGACTGTGAACCTTCTGAGTGGGTTAAAAATAAAAGCAGAATACTGAAAGGGAGAACTCTCTGACACACCTTCCAAGACTTTGTAATTTAATGTCACTGGGAAGAGAAACTCCTAAAAAGGACTTTGTGCCCTTTGGGTTGGCACCATGGTATGTCTCTGGCCCATTTTAGGGATGAGGTGTCAGATGTCAGCTACGTGAAAGGTTAAGGCAGGTAGCTGGCTAGAATTTGCATTTGGAAAAGGGGAGACTCTGTTTCAAGAATTGATGCATAGGTCACAGAGCCCAAAGCTGTACTCACCAAAACATGTAGGAGGAAGGGGGAGAAGTCTTAGGCAAAGAATCAGAAAACCTGGGTACTAGTCCTAGCACTTCTTCTAAGTGGCCATGTGGCCCCAGGGCAAGTCCTTAAGGCTCACTTTCCTCATCTGTAAAACGGGATTATTAATTCCTGACTCTCCTGATACACAGAACTGTTGTTCAGACAGAATGGGACCATGTGAAGACTTTGGGGGACACCCTATATATCTCTTTGAGATTTGTAAAACACTTTAGATATGTTATTTAACTTGATTTAGACAATGACCATGTGAGGTAGGTGTTATTATTATCCTTGTTTTACTGCTGGAGAAAATGAGTCTCAGAGAGGGTGAGTGGGTGGCCCAGGGTCACACAGCTAGTAAATGTCAGCAGTAAAATTTGAACTCAGGTCTTTCCCACTCCAAATATAGCATTCTATCCACCATAACTCACTATGTAAGTATAAAGTGGGCTGCTAATATGCATTGTTAGAGGGCTTTCTTTACCAGAAAATCTCTACACCAATGAAATTACGGTCTGGAGTATCCATTAATCTCTACCTAACTCTGTGTGCATGTATGTGTGTTTAGAAGTGCACCTATGTGTATCTACACACATATTTAACCTCAAGCAGAAAATCTAAACATATATTGACTGAATGAAATAAAACCAACCTGAGATAGATGGGAACTTTAAAGTAAATATTATCATTATTTATTTATCTCCAAGTATCTGAGGCACTACCCATTCAATCAAAAGTATTCAAGATAAAAATGTAGGCTCATAGGAGTTAGCAGTGGAAAGGCCCAGAGGGCTTATCTAGATCAATGCCATCATTTTACAGATAAGGAAACTGAGGACCAGGCATGGGAAGTGACTTGTCCAAGACCACACAGGCAGCAGGGCATGGGGTGAGGCACGTCACTCCAAGTCCAGTGCCAATCTCAGCTACGCTTGAGTCCCTGGGGCAGGGTGGGAAGGAAGATATTGACCATAATTATAAGTTGCTAGGATATTTTTACTGAAGGCCAAAATATAGCATCAACGTACCATTTCTGGTCAGTAATCAGCACTCCTTGACACAGAGATATTTTCAGAATCCTTCCCAAATCATCAGAAGCACCTATCCTAAATGCTATTCCCCTAGGGACACAGCCAGACCTGCAGCTTTATTTCACATTTTAAAACTCCCATGTGAGTAATGTTCCAGAAATGCTAAGTTCAAACACATAAGGAAAATGGCCTTCCTGAAACTCTTAAAACACTCCTTTCCACAATCCATTCTCACTGAAAACTTTTATGACTGCTGACAGGGACATCTCATTGGATGCCCCTCTTGTCAAGATGGGCCATGTTCAAAGCTCCAAAATTGGTTAATAACTGATCAGACACTGAATATTATTTTATGTTGGGGCCAGTTATTAAAATCCTTGGGAAACTATATTGTAACAGATAGAAACTAGGGCAGCATAATCTAATAATAACATTAATTGTATCATTATTATAGCTAGGATTTATATACCGCTTTAAGGTTCACAAAATGCTTTAGAAATGTTATCTCATTTTATCCTCATCAAAACCCTGAGAGGTAGGTGGTATGATTATCTCATTTTTAGAGATGAGGAAACTGAGGCATGGTGAGGTTAAGTGACTTGCCCAGGGCCACACAGCTAGTAAGTATCTGAGGCTGGATTTGAACTCAAGTCTTCCTGACTCCAAGTCTAACTTCCCTGTCATCAGTGGGAGAGTGCTGTATCTGGTGATCAGATGATCTGGGTTTCATGGCTTTGCTATTTGATAGCTGTGTGACTTTGGGCAAATCATTAGCCCTCTGAATCTCACTTTCTTCCCACTGGTAAAGTGAAGGCATTGGACACCATGATCTTTAAGGTTCCCTCCAACCCCAAATCTACAATCCAAAGTCCATCGCATCTCCCATTCTAGGGACTTTGGACTATTCTAATTCTGCAAAGGAATTCCTTCTAAGTTAGAAAACAAGTTAGGGAACTTGAGAGTTGGAAGGGACCTTGGTAGCCAAACCAAAGTCCAGGTCAAGACGATGAAAGGAAACCCCAAGACGATGCCTCCGAATACAGTCGTCCAAGCTCTACTCAAAGACCTCCAGGAAGGGGGAGCCCCAGTCCTGAAGACAAACCACTCCACTTTTGGTCAGCCCTAATTATGAAGAACGTTTTCTTCTGATATCAAACCTAAATTGGCCTCACTACAGCTGCCACCCATTGCTCCTGGTTTGCCCCTCCATCTGACCCCTCCTCCACATGACAGTCATCATCCTGTTCCATTCCTCCTCTGAGCCCCAGGTCAAACACGCCTTGTTCCTTTAGCTGATCCTCCTCACACAGGCAATTAAGCCCCTTCTCCATCTGAGGTGCTTTCTTCTGGATGCTCTCTAGACTATCAACACTTTTCTTAAACTGAGCTGGACTGAACACAAGACTCCAGATGACATCTGATGATGGCAAAGTATGGTGGGACTCCGATCTCCCTCCCCTGGAAGCTTCACCCCTCCTAAGGCAGCCCAAGATCACATGAGCCTTTGTGACTTCCACATCACACTGAAGACTCGTATTAACCTTGCAGTCACCGAAGACTCCCGATCTTTTTCAGAATAACTTCCGCTTCACTGAATCTCCCCTATCTTACCATAGGATCATAACTTTAGAGTTGGAGAACTTAGAGGCTATGAGTATAACTCTCCTAGTTTATAGAAAAGGAAAAGAAAAGAAAAGCTGACTTGCCCAGGGTCAAACAGCTAGTAAATGCCCACAGAAGGATTTGAACTCAGGTCTTCCTGATTTTAAGGCCAAGAAAGATTTATGTATTGTGCCACCTAACTAATGGCTGATTGAGTCTGGTCTGGAAGACATGTCCTTATACTAGGAATGAACAACGCTATGGAAAAGTCATTTAGGACTTTGTTCCCACTTGCGTTATGCCAGATGTCAAGGCTTGTCTAGTCTACTAAGGATGACTAGTTGAGTTCTGCCTACTTCAGAACTGAGCTACATCCTTGGGCTTGGCTTGAAAAAGGAACAGACAGATTTGGCAGAGAATGAAGGCCATGATGAGGGAAGGAGGAGAGAGACAGAAGAATGGAAGGAAGGAAGAAGAAGGAGAGGGAAAGGAGAAGGATGGAGGGAGAGAGAGACAGACACAGACACAGAGATATATGCAGAGAGAGACACAGAGATACACAGAGACAGAGAAATAGAGAAAGAGATAGATGCACAGAGAAACAGAGACATAGAGAGAGAAGAGAGAAACAGAGAGACAGACAGAGAGACAGAGACAAAGGGAAAGGGAAGGAGGGAGGAAAGGAGGGAGGAGAGAGAGGAAAAGAGAGAGGAGAGGGAAAGAGAGAATAGAGAGAAATAGAGTGACAGCCAGAGAGAGAGAGACAGAGACACACAGAGACAGAGACAGAGATAAAGAAAGACAAAGAAACAGACAAAGAGAGAAAGGGAGACAGAGAGAAAAAGAGGAAGAAGAGAGGTTGACAGAGACAGTAACAGAGAGAGACAGAGAGACACAGAGACAGAGACACAGAGATAGAGACACAGAGAGAGCACACTAGCTGGCAGAAGCAGTAGAGAGGCAGTGGCAAGTAATGGAGAGCCTAAAAGTGGCCAGAACATTTAGAGCCAGCCTCTTGAAGTTCATTGGGTCATAGCATTAGAAGGGACCTTAGAAATCACCAGGTTCAACTATCTCATTTTACAGATGGAGAAACTGAGGTAGAGAGTTGTGTGACTTGACACTTACTACCTGCACGAAGCAGGATTTAAGCTCAGGTCTTCCAGACTCTAGACCCAGTCCTCTATCCGTTATGCCAAAGGGCTGCCAGGAAGCCTCTCTGCCTCTCTGCTCCTCTGCTCATCTTTGACTAGTGTCATATTACAATCTTTGACAAGACTACCTACACAAATATGTATATGTACATACCTAGCTAATGCAAGAGCCCGGTTCACTCTTTCTTCCAGGCCCAGCGTCCCCAGGGCCTTCCAAGTCATCCAGAACTTGAATGCATCAGGTCGGCGACTGCACTGGATTGACTTGTCTCCTGTGTCATAGCTGACATCATAGAACTTATCTTGTTGGAACAGGTAAGATGCCTTTGCAGAGTAGCATCTTTTAAGAAGGTCCTGTTGGGAATGAGAAAGGAAAAGAAATAATGCACCTGCCCAGGACAGACTCTTTTAAGAATCAGTTTTGTTCATTGCCAACAAACAGGCAAAATGTGGGACACTTGAGCACTTTGGGTTGGGCTTACACATCACTGAAGGATGGCCTTCCATCAACTCTGTATCTTGCATGCATCTATTGAGTTACATGCTGTCTTTCCCATTAGAGTGTAAGCTCCCTGAAGGCGGAGACTGTTTTTGCATTTTTGTCTTTTTATCCTCATCCTTTAGCATCGTGTCTTGCGCACAGCGAGTGCTAAATAAATGCTTCCTGAATCCTCAAAAGGAACTGATTGGTGTATGTAATCACTGCAGCTTAGCTATGGGGGCTTTGTAAAAGACCTCATAATCAAGAGCATGACAGTGAATCTTCAGATTACTGGCTGACAACACTAACAATGGTGGTAAGGCTTGGAGGCTGCCATTTTGAAAGACCTGAAAGGAACTGAGACCACCACTGCACCAGGAAGATTTCAATGAGCGCTGGATCTGATGACTTTTAATTAATTAGAGAAAACTCTGTGCCCTCTATGTACTTTTCCTCCAAGTCTGCGATTTTATTGGTATAGAAAAGTTCCTGTAAGGGAACTCCTTTTATCACTTCAACAACTGTTGTACAACTCCTCATCTTTAAAGAGTTGTGTCAGGCACTGAGAGGTCAAGGTGACTTCTCCCAGCTGACACCAACACTAGGAAGAGGCAGAGCTTGAATGAGCCCAAGGTCAGCTCTCTATTTTCTTATTCACATTTACAGTTGTCAGTGGCAAAGAAAAAGGTACTAGGGGCAGCTAGGTGGTACAGCAGATAGAGTACCAGCCCTGAAGTCAGGAAGACCTAGGTTCAAATACAGCCTCAGACCAAACACTTGGCATTTACTAGCTGTGTGACCCTGGGCAAGTCACTTAACCCCAATTGCCTTAAAAAAAAATTAAAAAAGAATAAATAAAAAACAAAGAAAAGGGTACTATCTCCATTTTTTTTCCCGACCCCACAATGAAAGGATCGGGAATGTTGTTCAGTCATTTTTCAGTCTTGTCCAACTCCTTGTGAGCTCATTTGACAGTTTCTTGGCAGAGATACTGCCATGATTCACCATTTCCCTCTCCATCTCATTTTACAGATGAAGAAACTGAGGCCAATAGGATTAAGTGACTTGCCCAGGGTCACACAGCTAGTAAGTGTCTGAGGCCAGATTTGAACTCAGGAAAAGGAGTCTTCCCACCTCCAAGCCTGGCACTCTACCCACTGCACCACCTCGTGCCTGATCAGGGATGACTTCATGCAAAAACCAACATACAGTAAATGAACCACCTACACATGCTTTTTATATTGGGGAAAAACATCCTTTAATTTTGAAGGTTTTCTTAGCTATTTTACTGAAACGCCTCTCTCAGAGGTCACTGTGACATTCTTACCACTAAATCCAGCAGTTTTTTTCCTCAGTCTTCTCTCTCCTTGACCTCTCACCAACAACTGATACTTTTGACAAGCCCTTCCTCCTTAACGCTTTCTTGTAAAAGACACTATGTTCACTTGAAGACCTTGAGTCAAATCATTCCATTTTGCAGATGAGAAAACTGAGTCTTGGGGAAGTTGAACGACTCCCACTACTAGTAAGAGATGGAGCTAGGATTTGAACTGCATATTTATTGTTCTTTTCACTTTACCATGCTGTTTGTCTTGAAGAAGGTTCACTGGGCCTTCCACATTCTGGCCTGAACCTAATCATCCCTCTTCTTGACAAACTCATTCATTCTAGCCAAACTGTATACTTATCATTCACTGAACATACTATGAAATATTATTGCTTCCATGCCTTTGGTCATGCCAAGAATGCCCTTCTCCTCCCTAATCCTTACTTTTTATTTTACTTTATTTTTGGTGAGGCAATGGGGGTTAAGCGACTTAGTCACTTAGAGTCACATAGCTGGTAAGTGTCAAGTGTCTAAGGCTGTATTTGAACTCAGGTGCTCCTGACTCCAAGGCCAGGGCTGTATCCACTGCACCACCTAGCTGCCCCCCCGCCCCAATCGTTACTTTTTAAGGCCCAACTCAAGTCCCAACCTCTCTGTGATGCCTTCTTCTCCAGTGATTTCTTTTCAACTCTTACAGCATTTATTTCCCATACCAGTAATCTGGTACATAACACCTGCTAATAATGCTCTATCTCCCACCCTAGCTTGCCTGCCTACCCACCAGCCCAGATCTCCACTCAGGTGGCCTAGTGGGAAGCAGGCACTTTTGGCTGCCCTCTACTCCACCATCTCTAACCCCCTGACAATGCAGGGACTTTGAGGTCAACAGCTAGACCATAGACTAAGAGGACCCTGCCAGATTCCTAGCCATTATGCTTCCGGACCCTCAGTCACTGCTATCTGACCGGCCAATGCACTTTAAAATAGTTCTTTTTAATTATTATTTATTTATGTTAAACATTCTATTTTTTTAAATTTTGAGTTCCAAATTCTCTCCTTGCCTCCTAGCCCTTCCCCCACCTACTGAGAAGGCAAGCAACATAACAAGTACATATGTGAAATCATGTAAAACAAACTTCTATATTGGCCATATTTCAAAAAAGAGCAAGAATAATAGAGAAAGTAAGAAATTCTACACCAATTTGCACTCAGAGCTCATCAGTTCTCTCTCTGGGGGTGGATAGCATTTTTTCATAGTGAGTCCTTTGGAATTGTTGAGGATCATTGTATTGATCAGAGTAGCCACGGCATCCCCAGTTGATCATCATTACAACATTGCCGTTACTGCGCACCATGCCATTACACATAAAGAGTTCTTGGGCCTTCCATCCACCCTATAGCTGCAAGCTTAGAAGCACTGGGACTTTCCATCTGCTTTGTAATTTGAAGTTCTTGAGAATAGGGACTGTCTTTCTTTTCTATTTCTATTCTCAGTGCCTGGCACATAGTAAGTCTATAATAAATGCCTTTTCATTCACTTGTTTATTGTATTAGTATTTATGTCTCATCTGGTAAGTGGACTGGAAAGGCCTGGATGGGCAGAGACTGTGTCTTCTCCTAAACAGCCCAGTGCTGACCATTGCGCTTTGAACAGAGCAGCAGCTAAATGAATATCTATTGTTGATGCTAATGATGAGGACATTCTTTGCACTCACACCACCACTCAGACCCATATGGCATTTAATCCATATGGGATGATCACAGGGAAGAGGTTTCACACATTTTACATGCCCCAAAATGGAATATTTCAAATGCACAGTGTTTTTTAGCAAGCTATAGAGTCACTCAAAGATTCCTGAGTTCTTCCTAAATTACATTCTTGGAAAAAGGAAAAATACAGTTGTAGAAGAAGTGGAATTGCTTTATTTCAGCTACTGATGCTACATGGCTGAGTCATGGAATGTCACCTCCTCTGAAGAATTCAAGTTGTGTGTCACCCAAAGGGCACTGGTGGGCACAGAGAGGATACAACACATCGCCCACAACCAGAAAAGAATGGTGCTGAGAGAATCAGCATATGAAGGATGTCATCGGAGAGATTTGTTACCAGCAAAGAGTGTGGATTGGCCATGTGGTGAGAGCAAGGAAAGAGCAACGGCCAGGCTAGGAGCTGTCCAGCACAGCTAATGCCATCTTGGCCTTCTCCTGGGAATAAGGAAGCACCAGCTCTACTCTTCTCTTCCTTGGCCAGACCCCATCTATGGTAAGGTGGCCACTTCTAGGAACCACATTTTAGGAAACACATGGATAAGCTAGACAGTGTCCAGGGGAGGGAGATCAGGATAAGGAAGGGCCTCCAAGCCATGTGACATGAGGATAGGTTGAAGGAATTGGAGATGATTAACCTGAAAAGAGAAGGTTCGGGGAAGGGAGAAGCAGATGTGATAGCTGTCTTCAAGTACTTAAAAAGCTGCCATGGGGACAGGTAGAAAAACAAGACCTGTGATTTTTATTGATATAGGGAACTCCCAGGTGAAGAAACTCTCTTTACCAATGCAGGTTAGTACCCTTTCTTATTGCCTAATTGTATTGATTTAGAACTCTGACTCTAAACTCTGGTTTTGTATTGATTTAGAAAACCATAAATTAACATTATGTATGTTTTATTGTGCTTTTATTTTATAAACTATTTCCCAATTATACTTTAATCTGGCTTTGCCAGCAGCAGGTGTTGGTGCCTCTGGCCCGGAGTATTGGGAGGTTAAGGGATGGGAGTCACTTGTCCATACTCTCCAGGTCACTAGCTTGAATTCTTCAGAGACTGTGACATTCTATGAGTCATATTCATACAGTATCAAGGTCACACAGCCAGTATAGGGTCAAAAGGGAAACTTGAATGTGGAAGAGAGATTAAATTTGTTTTGTTTGGCCCCAGAGGGCAGAATCAACAGCATTGAGGAGAAGATGTAAAGGGGGAAACTTCAGGTTTGAAGTCAAGGAAGACTTCCTAGCAATTGGACCTAGTCCAACATGTGGTAGTGGGTTCTTCCTCACTGGAAGTCTTCCAGCAGTAGCTGGATGGGCCCTCGTCTGGTGTGTTGTAGTGGGAATATTTGGGGGGTATGTGTTGGGTCAGATGACCACTGAGATCCCTTTTAACTGAAATTCTGTGATCCATTAATATCCATGAAATAGCAAGAAATTTAGAGATATGTCCCTGCCACATCCCTCTTCCCACCTGCTACATCCCGATGCTCCACCCTCCCCACAGGAATTTATAGGACGACTGGCAAAAATTCCCTAAGACAAGAAGGTATGGCTAGGCTGCTATGTGCATCATAGAAGAGTATATATGCCCCCATAGATTAGATCACAGATTTATCAAAGTACACTGTTACCTTTAAAACAATAAGTAAACAATCATGAATATAATGGAGGCGGGGGACAAGCATTTACAATAGCACCTAGTATATATCAGGCACTGTTCATCATCTCATATAATCCTCACAACAACCTTGGGAGGTAGGTGCCATTATTATCCCCATT